GATTTATTATTTCCAAAATCACATAAATAGTTTATTGCACAATTACTCCACCCTGGAAAAGGGGGGCACAGCAGTTAAACTGTTAAAAAAAAACCTCCAGATTAATCTAATCTCAATTCCCATGATGAGTGCGTTTAAAACTTTGGACCACACCCATCGGCCTGCATATCTGTTCTGTGTAGAACATAATTAAACTCATTTGAGATCCTGTGGTTGAGAATGATTCTCTCTCTGAGGGATCTCAGCAGAGTAAAGCCAATAGTTTGGCAGCATAAAATATTTCAGATAGTTGCTGCTGCTGCATCAGTGCATGGGCCAGAGCAAGCATGGAACAGACTTTTTCTGCAAGGTGACGAAATGCATTTAATGAATCGAGGACATCTTGTCCTTTCTTCAAGTAATGCAACTCACTTCTCTCAAAGCTCCACTGCTCCTCTGCTTTATGTATGATTTAATTAATTTATAGCAACTATTGTTGCTATAAATCTCTAACTTTTGTTTTAATTTACAAAGGATGATCATATGATAGCATTTTATAAAGGAAGGGATCCCATCCCACTCACAGCTGATCACCTACAGATGGTTTTAATAATATTATAACAGCTAGAAGGCTGTTGATGAATCTCCCTTTGATTCTATTCACATAAACATGTGTAAAGAATGATGTGGCATAAATGTTTGTAATTCATGTCATGTATTAGCTCAGCAGAGCCACGGCTCTCAGACTTTTATAAGAAAAACTGTGAATACGCCTTGTTCATATTTTATTGTGATAACAGGCAATTTAGTAATTTTAAACCCCTTTATGGGAGAAGCAATGAATTGATAAGAGTAGAGCAGTTATCCTATGACCTACTGCACCTGATAAACGGACGCAAGAAACTTATGTGGATCAGGTCTTCCTTGCAGAATATAGATTTAAAGAAACTATGGGAAACTGTGGGCATAAGCTAGCCTGATAAAACAGACTAAATGTGAGATTAAATGTAAATTTAGTCTGGCCCCGATGAATGAGACATCAGAAGATTGTTGATGAGCCCTGATGAGCATGCCGAGAGAGGTCCGCTGCAGACGGGCTGAGGTTAGCCCTGGCTGCTGTTAGCCTCGGAGGGCCGCCGCTTGCCGCGGTTCTATCAACTTCGAAAATTGTAAATGGACCATATAGTGATGCTTTAAAGTATAATATTCTCGCCTCAAATTATCTTAAAATTTACATTTATTGAACAATAGCAACAGAAAAGAGAACTTTTAACTTTCAATGGAGCGCTCCATTGAAAGCTGCTTCTGCTGCAGTGCATGCTACTGTTCAATAGTTATTGCCATCCTCCTTTATGTGCTTTCTCCAGAGTTGCACAGCTTTGTCATCACGCCCTCAAAACCCCGCCCGCTTTGCATCCAGAAATTCAAAACACATCTCTGCACTGTGATTGGCCCGCCAGTTAAAGGGCCTGGGGCATTGATCGAGGCTAGACAAAACTTGCAGGCAAAAATGATTTTGGCCGCTGGCGGGTGGGGCTAGTGTAGTAGGCTAGGCATAAGTGTTAGAAGCAGCAAATATCTGTCTGTCTGTCCGCCATTTTTGCCAAATTTTTTAATTTATATTTATCAATCTCTCAAAAATAACGTTTTAATATCCAACACAATAAACTTTCGGCAAGTACATTTAAACCTTTTAAATCTTATAAGTATTCAAGTTCTTTGAACAATTTACTACTATAAGATATTTATCTATTAGAAACTAAATTACAAAAAGTACTTTCTTCATCCCAAAGTGAAAATTATAATAGACTTTTCAAATCGCTTCTATTCTTCTATTCATAATCATTTACTTGAATCAAAAAACATGTCTCAGAATCTTTCCTAGATTGAATAAACCTATGATATGTTGCAGCAACATCTTTTTATTTGGAATATCCTTGATTAGTTTGTGATATAAAAATGGGTTAACTAAAAAAACGAAATTTCAAATTCTGGGTTCAAAATCAATTAAAACAGTTTGTGGGTGCACAGAAGTAATGACATAAACGTTGTCAGAAAAGAATACACACAGCTTTAAAATCTCCTTTTAGCGGTCTCCATAAGACATAATGAGAACATGTGCAAGTTCTATCAGAGCAGGATATTTAATAAAGACCAGCCTAAAAACAGATTTGTTTTGTTCTAGCAGCATTAGTTGGGCAAACAAGTCTCTGTTCTTTCAGAATATCTTAGGACCATAACATAAGGTCTGAATGCATAATCGCAATGATAATACATGTTGGTGGCAGTATAATTCTGGGCTTAGCTTTTCTTTCTTTTTTATCTGGTGGGCCTAAATTTAAATCATAAATCATTTAATTAAAATGTAAAATGCCAATTCTGGAGAGTTGATGTCCTGTAACTTTTGGATGCCACTTAAGTCTTAAATCAAATGACTGACTAAATCAACCACAGACTTACTTATTACTTTCTAGTGTGTCCTGGGTGTGATGACGAAGAGATAAAAAGAATATCGACCTGAGAACAGAAAACCTTTAATATAGATAAAATCCACATCCTTCAGATTTTTAACTGTTTTTTTACTTGCCCTTCTGACTTCTTTCATTATCTTCTTTTGGTTTCCTTGACCCGTCTATAAGCATCAAATGGTCCAAATTTCCTAATATGCCATCAATAATACCTTTACTTTACAATTTTTCCTTTCAGTTTCAATTTATAAATGTATTCATATTCATTTATGCAATTTATATGTATTACTTTGTTTGTAGTGGGGACTTAGGTGTTAAATAATATTACTAAACAGCCAACTTGCACCACTGCACACTGCACATGGAGCAACGCTGCACCTTTGCTGCAAGTACTGAGATCTTTCTGCATAGACTTGTAATGCTTTATGTGTGCATGTATTCCACCACAGGTGAAAAAAAAAA